CAGTCCCCACCAGGCTTTCAGCACTTCCTCTTTGTTACATTCCCCATGATCATGCCCTACCAGGTCTCCCACACCCACCTCCCCACCAATTTGGAGGTGGGGGGGAAGGGAAGAGGTGTTAAACCCAGGGACAAGGGAACAACAATAGAGTGATTTGTAAGTAGACGCTTCTCCCATGGAGTAGCATTTGAGCAGAGGTGTGGAGCAGTTGAGAGACCAAGCACTATGTAGAGCGGTGGTTCTCAACCTTCCTCATGCCGTGACCCTTTCAGACAGTTCCTTGTGTTTTGGTTTCCCCCAACCATAAAATTATTTTCGTTGCCACTTCATAACTGTAATTTTGCTACTGTTATGACTTGTAATGTAAATATCTGATATGCAGGATATATTTTGATTGTTATAAATTGAACATAATTAAAGCATAGTGATGAATCACAAAACAATATGTAATTATATATTTTGAAATATGTACTTCTAATGACAAATAAATGACATTTTGTCTTGAAGCATGGTGTAGCATGGGTAACAGTCTTCACACCAGGTGCTCAGATGTGGGCATATCTGCATGTGTGCAGGCCGCCCTGGAGACGGAGAGAGGGGCGGTGTTTCGGTTCCTAAGACCACCGGAAATCATGTGTTTTCCCATGGTCTTAGGTGACCCCTGTGAAGGGGTCGTTCGACCCCCAAAGGGGTCTCGACCCACAGGTTGAGAACTGCTGATGTGGAGGATGCAGACAGGAAAGTGCCTGATTTGTCCGTTGGAAGAAGTACAAGGAGGCCATAATGACTCGTATGGAGCGAGAAAAGGAGAGTACTCGCATATGTGGCCAGGAGAGAATGGAGAACTAGTTGTGGGCCTAGTTTAGAAGCAGGTGTTGGCTTTTGCCTTACTCTGAGAGTGGAAGCTTTACCGAAGACCTGAGCAGAGGAGTGGTCCGGTCCCTGTGACTTCCTAGGTTGAGAAGAGACTCTAGGCAGGTGAGCGCAATTAGGAAACTATTACAGCAGTCTAGAAATGAGTGTCTTGGGCTAATCAGGTAGCAGTGGTGGTAAGGTATAATCAGAAACACGATCAAAGGTAGAGAAGGTATTTTGAAAGTAGAGATGACAGAATTTGCTGAGTGGGTGAGGTATGGTGAGCAATACAGATGAAGAGGGGAGTTAGGATGACACCAGTTAGGGGTTTCGGCAGTTAAAAGATGGTGTCGTCATATTCTGAGATAGGAAAGATTGCAGTAGTAGCAGATTTTATAAGGAAAGGTTAGCAGTTTGGTTTGGGACATAATTTTTAAATACCCAAGTAGAGAAATAGGCCCTTGGATACTGTTATTGTACAGTAAAGAGATCAGGTCCAAGCTTGAAATTTAAATTTGGAACCTATCCACATAGACATCATGCTCAGCCATGAAACTGGACGGGGTCATCAACAATATAGATGAAGAAACTTAGTTAGAAGACAGTTGATGTTCACACTTGCAGGAGGAGGAGGAATGGGGAAAGGAGACTGAAAATGCCAGTGAGAAAAACTAAGAAAGTGTGTTGTTATAATTGTGCACCATGAAGCTGGTTTTGACTCATAGGAACCCCATGTGGCAGAACAGAACTGCCACATAGTGTTTTCTTAGCTGTAAACTTTACAAAAATAGATCGTTGTCTTTCTCCTGCAGAACGGCTGGGTGGATTCGAACTACAAACCTTTCAGTTAAGCAGCCAAGTGTTTAATTGTTCTAGCCCCATGGCACTCTGGAAACCGAGTGACAGAGCATTTTAAAGAATGGGAAGTAATTTCGTTTCTGCTAATAGGTCAATTACAATGAGGCAAAGAGCCCCAACTGAAGTGGGCTTCAGAGAAACTTTGTAAAGAACTTGCGGTAGTTCTGTAGTGTTTGTCATTTCTCTGTGAAGAAGTTCAGTAAGGCCTTTTTGCTGAGTATAAGCATGAGAGAGGAGGTGCTCACGCCTTGGTTGGAGAGAAGAGAGCAGCTATTTTAACAGTCCTCGAGAAGAGTAAGACGGAATGAACTGAGGACACGTGGTAGGAACGCCGGCCAGTTCCCGAGAACGCTCCTGAAGTTTGTGCTCATAAATCTGAATAAAGACCAGCTGTTTACATACTGCTGGACTGTGTGAAGAAGAACGTGGCATCAAGATTTGCCGAAGATTCATTAGCAACCTGTTATTTGTGAGTGATACAACTGTGTTGAAAGCAGAGAGGACTTGAAGCATTCACTGATGAGTAAGTCCTCAACATGAAGCAGAATTCTCCCAATGGGGTCAATAAGCAGCACTACGATAAATGGAGAAAATCCTTGCAATTGGCAAGGAGTTCCTATTACTTAGATTCACAATCTAAGTTCATGGAAGCAGCAGTCAAGGAGTCAAAAGATGTATTGATTGCATTGAGCAAATCGAGCAGGGTTGGGCCGTGTGTCTTTCTATTGTATAGAATTTCTGTGAGTTTGAACCAACTTGATGGCATGTAACAAAACAACAACAGCAAGTTAACAGTGCCAAATGAGCAACTTATTGATAAACATAAATTAATAGAGTTTGCATGAAGTTGGTGAAGTAGGAAATGACAAGATAAAGTAAATTTGTTTAGCACGGTTAATTAAGGAATTCTTATTCCTAGACTTAGTGGATTTTGAAGGAAGTGGGTGCAGTTGCTTGCAGGAGAGCACTCTTTAGTGGAAGAGAATGCCCCGTGTCTGAGGTGAGTGAGCAGCCGGGGCAGGTGAGCGTACTCGGGGGAGAGTAAATGCTCTCTTGAAAGAGAGAAGCACAGCAGCAAGAGCATCAGGCTTGGGATTTGTGAGTTGAGGGAGTCATTATAGACCCATAGTGATAATGCTATGATAGATCAGTCTAGACCTTTTCTTAGAGAATTAGGTGATGCTACAGAAATTTCTTTGACAAGATATAATTCAGTTCAGTTTTCCAAATTTGTTCTACATTTCTAAGTGTGACATTATATTATTTAAAACTTTTTTTATTCCATCGTATGGATACAATTTTGAGGGGGGAAAAATGAAAATGTTTTTCTCATCATCAAATAAATTTCTCTTATTTTTAATCTAGATTTTACTTTATTAGCAATGGACATGCCCAGCACGGCTCCTTCGGATCTTCAGCCTCAGCCAGTTATAGCAGTGCTTCGACTTTTTGGTTGGGATGACATCATCTGGCCCCAAGTTGTAGCAAGATATTTAAATCATGTCCTACAAAATAGGTAAGTGTTTTTGTTTCAGGAATGCACATTATTGTCACGGACTGCCAGAAGAACAAACAGATTTGTCTTGAAAGAAATATAGCCTAACACTCTTTACAAGAGAGAAAAGTTAGGCTCGATCTCACATACTCTGGACATACCAGGAGGGACCCTTCTCGGAAGAAGGGCAGCATCCTTGAAAAGCAGAGATTCACCCAAAAGAAGACCCTTTAGGCGATGGACTGACACAGTGACTGAAAGTAAACGGCAACAATTGTAAGGATGGCGCAGCCTGAGCAGTGTTCCCTTATGCTGTAGATAGGGTCACTCTAGGTCAGCCCTGGCTCAGCAGCACCTAACCACAGCTTTAACATAAGCCCATGATAGAGCAGTACTGTCGGAACGTAAGAATCTTTACAAATGAGAATTCAATGTGCTACGGATACTTTTCACCATCGCAGGGTTTCGTTTTGTTTGAATATCGCAGCTCTGGGACACTACTAGTAGTAGGGAAGCTAACTTGTTTTTAAATGTTGCTAATTAAGGCCTTTCTCAAAACTTTTTGTATGACTGCCCTAATCTCTTCTAAAAATGACTTTTCTACACTCAACATTATAAGGAAATTATACAGCTAGTATTGTAACACACACACACACACAGGTATTGTGGTTTTAAACTTAATGGAAACTAGGCATTGAGCTACTAGCTGCAAGGCCCATGGCTCAAGCCCCCCAGCCACTCTGCATTGGAAAGATGGGGCTGTCTGCTCCCGTACAAAGATATACAGTCTGGGAAACCCTAAGGAGGCCTTCTCCTGTGTTCTGCAGTGTCTCTGTGAGTCAGAATCACTTGATGGCTTTGAGTTTTGTTTTTCATTTCCTTTGACAACTAGACTTTTATATTTTAACTCTTAACTTGTGTGATCATGAGCATGCACAGTCCTGCTCGGAACTCCCCCTTGGTTTTCCTCAGCCACAATTGTCTCCTGCCACATTACATAAGAGATTTGTGTAACTTCAAGAGGAAAAAATATACCAGAAAAAGGTAAAATAGAAATTGTGTGTTGTGGTCAAGAAGATTTAAATAAGAACATCCAAGTAAGGGAAAATAATAGTAAATATGCAAATCTAAGAAACTAATGTCGTTCCTTTCTGTGCTACCAATCTTTGAATATGAAAGATACAGTTGCTGAGGTAGTTCTTATAAGAAAGCTTAGTAAGTCAAGTCATTCAGTACCTGTTTTCTCATTGGTAAATAAGTTCACTTTCAATTACATTAAAGATTTTTCTAGCTTGAGAATTCTATAATAATGACATACACATTATTACAATTTGGTTGAAATGGTTTAAAATAACTTTAGTTTGTGAAATAATACGAGTCTATAGGCTTTCTACTCCTGGAGAGAGTTACAGTCTCAGAAGCCCACAGAGGCAGCTGTGCCTGCCCCTCATGGTTGCTATGAGTTGGATTTACCTTGGTAGATAGCAGGGAGTTTGCTGGGGTTTTCCTTAAGTATTAATAATTGAAGAAAGTGAAATTCAGGGGTGTTAATTAGTAGTTTTGCTAAGCTTATGTAGGCCATAAATGGCCATTCTGAGTTCTTTTATGTCAGTGGTAGGAGATTTGGTTATATTCAGAGGTGCCGTGGTGTAATGGCTTAGGAGTTGGCTATGAACCAGAAGGTTGACAGTTCAGACGCACTTAGCAGCTCCAGAGCAGAAAGTCTTGGCTGTATGCTCCCATAAATAGTACAGCTTGGAAACTAGGGGGCGGTCCCCCTATGTCACATGAGTCACTGAGTTTGAAATCGACTGGACAGCACCTACCAACAACAGCATATTCAAAGAATCTCAAAGTAACATTTTTAGAATTATTTCATAAATGTAATTTCTGGAGCCCGGGTGGTAGAGTTAAATCTTGGACAACTGCTTGAAAAGACAGCAGTTCAAACACCCAACTGCCCTGCAGGAGAAAGATGAGGCCGTCTGCTTCCTTCAAGATTCAGTGTTGAAAACCCTCTGGAGCGGTTCCGTTTGATAAAGTCATTACCAGCCAGAACGCACCTGATGGCAGCAGGTTTATATGATTTCTAACAGGTGTTTTGCAATCTTTTTCTGTATATCTGTGGAGTTCATTTTCAACAATGCTTGCCTGCATTGGGCTTGTCTGAAAAATAAATGCAACTTAGGAATGAGGGATGTTGGACTAATTTTCTTATAAATCTCTATGTGGGGAATGTATTACTATATATTTCTAATGATCTTCCGTTTATTTCTGCAGCCTGTTATGTGACATGTTCTCTCATTCAGACTGTGTGTCTTTTCAAGCTTTCACTATAAGATCATGGATCCGTTGTGTTTTGCAAATGTATATAAAAAATTTCTCTGTGCCTGATGATTTGTTCGTTGATGTAAATCCTGAGCAAGAAGTTGGTAAGTATACTTAGGTTTTCTGGTAAGTTGGGAGATGCCTTTGAAGCTTTTTAAAGAGCCCTGGTAATGCTGTGAGTTTGGCTTTGTTCCTGTCACTGTGAGCACCAGTAACTCCGGTTCAACGCCGCCAGCCTCTGCCTAGGAACACTGTAAATCGTCAGTGTTAGGAAACCCTCTGTGTGGCTGCTGAGAGGGAAAATCGACTCAATGGACGTGCATTTTGTTCTTTGTTTTTTTGTGACACTTTGTACTTTCTACATGGTCACCTTGTGTCCAAATTTTCTTACATAAATTAATAGAAAATGCATGAATTAATTTTATAATTAAGCATGAATGTAAGCAGATATTTCCTTTTGCAACCCATGTCTTTTTCCTGTTTTCCTATCACGATATGAGATGCATTTCTCTCTTATAAAGAAAAAGGAACTAGTCTTCTTGGAAGCCAAGAACAAAACTTGCTCCTGTGATGACAAGCTCCTTTTACCCCGGAAGTAACTTGTCATACCGAATAAGTGGAACTCTGAAATAAATAACCAGACATCACACTGTGATCACTCAAAAGAGAGTAAATAATCCCGTTGGGAAATTTGCCCGTTTTTATGCTTTGCTCTTATTCACTGAGTGATGATTGTATTTAATAATTTTTCATTGTTATGCATGCAGTCTGGTTGTCTATAGGCCATGCCTTTTTCTAAAGCTGTTGTGTATGGCCATTTTTTAAGTTGCATACATGCTATACTGGAAAATGTCCAAATTTATTTTGAAACCTTATTATATCAGTTGACTTTACATGAATAACATTTTGGGCTAAGAAAGTATACTTTCATTTAGTTCTCTTTGCCATAAAACTTTTGCTTAGTGGGAGAAAGTTAATTCACAGGCTTTGAGGTTCATGGGAATTTAATTTTAAAAGAATTCATGTCATAAATGAAGAAGGGACTTGCCCTGTTTTTTTCATCTCTGTATGTGTGTATATATGAATGCATATATGTGTCTATACATGAAGGGATAGAAAAATGAGATGGAAAGAGAATGGACTTTTTCCATAAATATTTTGAACTCTCTTTCTGTATGTGTGTGTATTTTTTTAAATTTAATTTTAATTTAACTTTATTTGACTTATTTTATTATTGTTATTAATTTAATTTTAACAGAAAGAGAATACATGGAACAGTTGAGTGAGCTGACAAGGTTGCTGTTTAAACTACCAGAAGTAAGGAGCATTTTTTCAGCAGCTCAAGTTGAATATTTAACCAGCTCAGAAGACCCTAAAAAAGCACTGGTCCAATTCTTTGAGGTATTTTTCATTTATTAGCATAAATGCCTACATCATTTACAATTATTGTTTAGAAAAACATAAAGTGTTCCTGAAAAGTTTTTCTATAAAAATGAATTGTTTTAAATTGAATCAATACTGGTTGACTTCTACTATAAAATGCTAGAAGATGAGAATCTAAGGTATAGTACAATTTACTCTTAAGGACAACAAAATTACATTTAATGGAAAATAATTTTTCAACTACTGCATAAGAGCCTTACTGTAGGGTTGATCTAAATTGTAGAAAACCTTATTGCTGAAACTGCTGGATAGTAGTGTGCTTCAGGTAGTTAGGAACTAAATTTCTTTGTATAGTGTCAGGAAATAGTTGCAGCCTGATAATGTTTTACCACCCTGTATCAAACAGTTGTATGGTAAATTTTGGTGTATTCAGCATAACTGTGTGTATTCAGCCCAGTATTTCATATGATACTATGGTAAATTCCATTTATGGTGTATGTTCTATTTTATATAATCAATAGCTCCATTCAAATTTTTATTTTTTAATTACTAATGACATGTGAACTTTGTTTTACAGCTTAGTAAAGCTAGATTTGTTTTTCCACAGAGCGGTTGTTGGGTCACTGTAATGAAAATTATCATCAATAACTTTTTACATAAATGTAGATTTTTCCTTTTATTTCCATTAAAGTACAATTAGAAATGGCACGTGAATCCTAAAAATATGTGATAATAGTTGTCAATTGGCTCATAAACTACAATTAATTAAGCACCCTTGGTATGCTAGGAACCATATCAGACCAGAACAGAGGGTAGATAGTTTTCAGAGAATCCCCTAATTTGATTCATTTCAATTTATGATTCTTCATCATTCAATAAATGATCATTATTTTCTAAACGCTGTTATATTGATGAGGATTTCTAAGAAATTTGAATAGCAAAATATAGTCTTTGACCTCAGAACTTTCACTTCTTTAATTCTATAGACACACATGAAGATTACAGTAATAATAAAACCAAATTCAAACCAACTGCCGTCAAGGCAACTAAGACTCATAGTGACCGTATAGGATAGAGTGGATCTGTCCCATAGGACTTCTAAAGCTGTAGACTTTTATTGAAGCAAACTGCCCATCTTTTTCCTGCCAAGCACTTGGTGAGTTCAAACCCTTGACCTCTATGTTCGTAGGTGGGCACTTTACCTACTGTGCCCCCAGGGATCCTTAAAATAATGACACAAGGTAATATAGGCTAATGAGTTCATAAGACACTCATTTCTGTACAGAAATGATTGTCAGGCATCTGAGTAGGGACAGTTAAGGTACTAAAAAATACATATATGGTAGTCTAGAGAGGGAGGAACGTTAGCTTTCTGCTCCCGTAAAGATTTAACGTCTCAGAAACCCACAGGGACAGTTGTACCCTGCCTGTACGGTTGCTCTGAGTGGGAATCCGCTTGGTGGCAGTGAGTTTAGTTGAGTCGTCTAGAGAGGATGATAGGCTATATAAAGAGAAAGACTGAGTGGTGCAGGTCACTGTTTTCTCAAAGTGTGTTTCATGGACCATTGGGAGTTACTTCGTTTTTCAGGAGATCCTGTGAGATCAAAACTCTATTGACGTTTACATAAGTAGTGCAAAAGCTTTAGCACAAGTCAACACTGTAGCCCAAAATTATACTAGTAGCCACTGTATTTTCCACTGTCACGCACCCATGAGGAGGGAAAAAAGAAGCCAATTTCAAATAATATCTAATGAAGTATGTGATTATTAATCCTATTAAAATCTGATCCTTGAATACATTTTCTTGATGCCTTGTGGACGACTATCGAAAGCGTGCACCTAAAACACTTGTGTGGTCATTTGAGTTGCATGCTGCACTGGCTTTATTTGTCTTGAAAAAAAGCTGACAAAATGTGGTTATTCATACTTGACTATCTGGCAGCACATTCATAAAAATAAATAGAGGAAAAGCAATTGGCAGCATTTGTTGCCAAAATATAATTTGAACTTTATAAAAGCAAGAATTTTGGGAGTTGGTGTATCTCTCACCATAATGTTGGGAGCTTAGCAATACGTAGTGATTTCTTACGAGATTGGTGGTAGCGTTAAAGGAAATGATTGTGAACAAAAATTTTAATAATATGATCAAAATGATTAAGATAGCTGATGTAGGTGTTTACAAAAGCATGCATGAATAAGAGATCCATTCAAAGTCAGAGATAGAAAATGTCATTTATTGTAACAGAGCAAAGTGTTTATTGGCATGTTTTCAGATTCCGTATTATCACCAGTATTCAAGAAATACATCTTCTCAAGTTTGGGTGTAACACCAAAAAAGAATACCGCAGTTACCTACAAAAGCTATTTAAATATTTCCTCCTCTTCCAAGTACATGTATGTGGAAGGCTAGGTTTTTTTTCTTCATCTGCAACATACTGCAAGAGATTGTGTGCAAAGCAGGTCTGATAATCCAGCTATTTTCTATTTAGCCAGATATTAATGAAGCTTGCAAAAAATGTAAAGGAAGTAAAAAGGCCCTCTTCTAACTAATGTTTTTGTAAAATAATTATTCTTCAATAAAAATGTTATCTTTATTAGCATGTAATTTTTATTATTTTTACTTCTAAGTGGTTTAAAAAAAGGATTAAAATATTTCTTTTTAGCCATTAGCTCTGGAAGAGCCTCAAGTTTTCAGTGTAGAGAAGCGATTTAAGATGAAAAGTTTGAGAATTTTTGGTGTAGGGAAAGAAATATGAAGAACCAAGGGCAGAGAACTAAAGAAAAAAGAAATTCAAGTATATGACTTGTTATTTTCACCTGGCCACCTCAAGTTCGCTAGGCATGTATTTATGTTTGTATTCATTCCACATTTTATTATCGACATGACCAACTCTAATAATATGATGAATAAAAGATGTGGAAGCCTCTCCAGTCCTCTGCTGCAGCCGTTCACTCCCACGACCACACCGTGAACCAGGCGGGCCAGCAAGTGGAACAGCTGACAGCGTTTTGCCTGCCACCACTTGTCCCTCCAGTTCACTGAACAGCCTGGTTGTAAACGTCTGCCTTTTCAAACACTCCTTTTTCGCTAAGTGCAGCATCCTCGTAAGGCCTATTTAATTTGACCTCTTGAGGGCTTCATTTCAACTGCTCTGAGTGTACCTTTTGGTCATCCTCAACCTTGCTCAGTGCAAGTACCCCGTTTTTTCTCCTGCTTTTTTTATTTTTCTGCTGAGAGCTATAGAAACAATAGGTAAATTGGTCTTTGAAATTTATTGCAAGTCCCCCCAAATTATTTGGAAACATAGTACCTCCTCAAACCTCTAGCCTGGCCTTCTTCTGATTCTGTATTTAGCAAGTCACCTCTTCTTGCTGATCCCCACCTCATCTCAGTTTATTTCCTTTCCTTTTTCCCTGACCTCGTTATGTTTTTGTAGCCTCACTTCACGCTCTCTCTCCTTCACACACCGCCTTTTTGCCCTGCTCTATTCCTCCCCATGTCTCCATCTCTATCCCCTCAGCTTCATCGCTTTGTCTGCTTGTGTGGTTTGCCTCCGAGATGTCAAAGTAACTCATAAAGGAAATTAATTCTGAAGGGGAAGATCAATGGCATTACAGATCTGAACTCCAAGTTTTTACTTGTAGGAGTGTGGTAACCTTACTCATAGGTTTTACCTATGGGGACTTAGGGGGTTTACATTCCAACAACAATCTAGGAATACGGTGAACCAAGCCATTTGGAAGCCTTGATCTGATTTGTTTATCAGTTTCTCGTGACATCAGTGCTCTGTTTCTTTTCAGTAGTACTTTTCTAGTCAGACCTCATTAGTGTTGAAAGTTGATTTTCTATTCTTTTAACCATCCTTTTTATTATAAAAGGCAAAGCTTGATTCCATTCACTTTTATTTTAATGTGAACCTTTCTTACTGACAAATAAAGAATGAAGACAAATGTAAGAAAGGTGTGTGTATATGTGTGTGTGTGTGTGTGTGTGTTTAAGAAGAGGGAGAAATTATCTTTATTTTGCAAAATCTGTGTTGTATAAAGTTTGGAAAGCTAAACCATGTTTCCTTTTATTTATAGGCTGTTGGTATAACTTACAGGAACCTGCAGACACTGTCTGATAAATCTGCCATGGTCACAAAATCCTTAGAATACCTTGGTGAAGTATTAAAATATATCAAACCCTACTTGGGGAAAAAAAAATCCAGTGCTGGACTGCAGCTGACTTATGGGATGATGGGCAAGTATTCCTGATGTTATTCTGCTTATAACACTTCTTAAGTTGGACCTATAAGATCATGGTGTGGAAGTAGCAGAACCATGCTGGCAAGTCACCACTATTTATTCAGCTCTTAAGAAGAGTTTCAAGTGACTTACTTACTTAATAATTCACACTTTCAGCTTTGTCTCTGCCATGTCCCATCTCCTGCATTACTTTTCTTGTTATATTGTATTAATATTTATTATGATCAATATAGGGAAATGTGCCAATACCAAGTTGCTATCAATAGTCTGTTGTAAATCACCCTTATTGTTAACATCTGTATAACTAACATAGACCTTTTCTATTGCTTCCGTGTATTTTAAGTGCTAGAATAAAAATATCAGAGAATGGTCACACTCTTCTATTTTGTCCTCTGCTCTGTATGAAGGCGATCAGGAGAGGATGTACTGCAATGCTGAAGATATTTATGCTTCAATGCTTATTTCTCACAAAACTCTGTTTCTCCTTTCAGAGAAGAAATCCTTTTTCTCTTCTATGCCTGTTGTGTAACAACTGAGTTTATCCAGCTTAAGGAAATCAGTAATTTGAATATCTTTGTTTGCTAAAACCTTTTTGCTCACCACAAATAGGGACTAGATAAAGGGAAATGAGAAGCGTGTCCTTAGAAGATTTTATAATGTAAGTTTCTTAGGGATTTTTTTTTTTCATTTCTCTATGGCCAACACCTTATATCTGTTTCCTTTGATCTTGTGAACATATGAAGAAACCTGATTTGGGCTGTCTGAAACCTTTTACCTTTGTTGTGAAAGATAAAGAAGAATGTGAAAATGTGTGAATATGGATGATGTAAGTGTAATGAAAGCTATTACAGCAATTCAGACATCTTAACTTTAGAGAAACCTGTAAGTGGGAATTATTTTAAATTTAATTTAATAAAAGGTAGACTAATTAATATTTTAGCATTTAAGTTTATCAATTATGAGTCTCTGAAAAGTTTTCTCTAGTATCTAGATTTAACTTTTCACCAAGTTAAATGTATGGCTTCATTGTTAAGTAAGCCTTTATTTATTTGTTAAATATATTGAACCCACTGCCATAAGTTGATTGTGAATCATAGCGACCCTGCACAGGGCATCTGAGGCTATACATCTTTGAGAGAGCAGCCAGCCTCTTCTTTCGCCTGCCGAGCAGCTGATGACTTTAACCGCTGCTGACTGTGTGGTCAGCAGTGCTTACTGATTGTGCCGCCAGGACTTCTTGTGACAGTCTTATAAAGGCCTGCAAGAACATTTTGGATTGGTGATTTGTAGACCTGGAAAGTGTTAAATTCTCCTTATGAAGAATTGAGGGATTTCCTTGTTTTACTCCCTTGTGGATTTTTTACTTCCTGGGAGGCGGTTCTATATTCTCTTTTTATGTCAGAGAGATTAAGAACAGAGTGTACACTCACTCCTTACTTGGTTAATTTCCAAAGTGTTTACACAATAATATGTGAAAATGAAGGATGACCGCATCTAGTCACAAAATGGAGGTTGGCCACTTTCTTACATAACTAATTGCCAAACCTCTGAGAATAAGGCCCAGCCAAGTTGGCATCTACATTTAACCATAGCCACATCATTCCTGTCCAAAACAGTGAGGTGTCGTAGATTGTTCACATTGTTGTAAATGCAAAATGTAGACAATGAAGTTCTTGTTAAGTAAGAAGGATCCCTGGCGGGACAGTTGGTACGTGTTGGGCTGCTATTTGTAACCACTAGCCGCTCTGCTGGGGAAAGGTGGGACTTTCTACTCCTGTAAAGAGTTAAAGTCTGACAAGCCCACAGCAACAGGTCTACCCTACCCTGTAGGGCCACCCTGAGACAGAATTGACTCTGGCAGTGAGTTCAGTTTTAGAGGTGTATTGCTACAATGTTGTCCATTTATTTATTAGTAATTAAGAATGGGTGACTGAAAAGGTTTAGAACAAAATGGAGATCGAACAATTAAAATCCTTTGAGAGGTGGAGATTTTACATCCACCTGTGGACAAGAGAGTAGCCTTAGTTGCCGTGTCATTTTCTAATAGGCCTGCCTCTGCTGCTTCCTCATAATGTCTTAGGACAGGGTGAGAGGCTCAGAACGCTGATGATCAGAACCACGCTCCGGATAAAGACCTCAGAGGGCTGAAACGGACTCCCGTTACTCCTGACCGTGGCTTTCTGTCACTATGCCTTGCCTTTTGGTTACGCGCTCTGTGTTCTGCCCGCCTGCCCTTTTGTTTTTGTAATTCAGATTCTAGCCATGATCCTTTAGTGAAAAGCCCGATGCTTCTCATCTCCTGCATTCATTCCGAAGTAGGCTTGATCTCTCTCATTGGGCTCTGTCTGTTTCTTTGGGATATTTTTATATTTTTTTATCACTTCTCATTGCTGAGTCATGATAGTGGCCCTATCCTTTGAGCTTCTTATTCCCATCCTGATGTTGTCCTTTGAATAAAACTACACTGACAGAGTACCCCCCAAAACTGGGGGAGTCAATGGGAGAGAAGTAGATTAAAGAGCTTCTTCAGTGTAGGAGATGGCTTATACTAAATAAACATTTCTGGGATTTAATAATTTTATTAGCCTAACTAATAGTACATAATACTTTTTAAATGGTCCTAAATGAGAAAAGTTGCTTTCTAAGTTTAATAAATATATTATGATAATCCCAACCTCCTTTCCCGTTTAAACGCATAATACAAGGGGGACTTCAAAAAGCTTGTGGAATATTCCATTATTACCTTTTAATTCTATTTTTCCATGAACTTTTTGAAACCCCCTTACGTAGGTGTGTGTGTGTGTGTGTGTGTGTGTGTGTGTGTGTGTAAAGATCGAGATGAAAAGGAACGAGAAGTTTTGCAATGGTTATCTTTAGATGGTTGGATTAGTGCCACATTATTGTTTTTTTAATGTATTTTCCAGCTATCAGTCAGTATGTAAAATGTTCATTGTCAGGCAAAAATGGTTTTTCTGTAAAGCAATGGTATGTATTTAAATCACTCCCAAGTTTTTTACTT